GAGTCCTGGGGACATGAAGCAGGAGGGATGGCAAGAGGTCCCCACACTGCCTGGGGAAGGCTGCACCATTTCATGGGGGAGAGGAGGAGGTGAGGCAGAGCCAGGCCTGCTGGAGACCCTGCAGCAGTGCCAGGAGAAGGACCCTGGGGTGCTGTTTGGGCTGGATGGCCACGGGCTGGCTTCCGGGGTGGGAGCCACAGGAGGAGCGGAGCACAGGCTGCAAGGGGACCCAGCATGTCCTGCCCTTCTTCCCACTACTGCCTGTGGGACACCCCCCATCCAAGAGCCCTGCCTGCCCTGCAGGGTGGTGGGCAGCCTCTGCACCCCCTCCACTCCTCCTGCAGACCCGCTTCCCACATAGCATGGCCTGTAAGGCACATTCCTCCCCTGCAGCCTGGCACCCCATGCAGCATGTCCTGCATGACATCTCCCATCCCACTGCAGACTAGTGTCCCATGCCATGCACCCCACACCATGCCTACCAAACTGTGCACTCCATTGCTGCGCACCCGCACGGCAGCCTGACCCAGCACTGAGGCACAGCCGTGTCTGTGGCACCTCTGATCTCTGGAGGCTGCGTGCTCCCACTGGGCTGCTATACATAGGTAGGTCAGCCCTGCCCCTGCGAGGCGCTGAATGGAGCAGGCTCAGTCTTATCAGCCCAGCATGTCATCAGCGGGTATTTTGGGGGACAGCAGCTGCAGGCATTTGTAACATTTGGTCCCTGAGTGCTGACACCACGGAGCAGAGCAGGGGGAAGTAGCAGGAGCTTGGCGCTGACACTGGGAGACGCTGGGAGAGGCAGCAAAGTGAGGTGTGTGTGTGGGGCAGTGGACTGGGCTGTGGGGGTGCATGGGGCAGGGTGATCAGGGAAGGGACTAAGAGAAGTCGAGCCATCAGGGCTCTGTGTGTCTGCATGAGCTGCCATGGGGTCAGGGACCGTGTGCCAGGAGGTGGCCCTGGTCCCTGCCAATCCTGGGAAACTAGCCCTGTCCCACCGTCCCCTCTGGCTCATTCAGGGAGTATTTTCGTTTCTCTTTCCCCTTCCTGAGGGAGGCAGAGACGCCCAGGGGAGGCATGAAACACCCTGCCTGCTCCTATCTGTTACGCCGGGCACCGTTACCCACAGAGCTGGGGTGGTGGCAGTGCCCATCCAGCGCGGGACCCATCTGCCCAGCCTTCCCTCTGCCTCTGGGGCTGATGATTTCCAGCCTTGCCTTCCAATACCCAAGGGCAGGATCCTGCCTGTGGGACCCTCTGGAGGGGGATCTGCTCTCGGAGGAGCCCCACTTTGCCCCCGGGCAGGACCCTATGGGGTGACCCCTCCGATCCCGGGTCCGGCCGGGTGCCGCTCGCTCGCGGGAGCCCCGGACTCGCGCC